TCGTCATGCTCCGTACTCTCCCCACATGGCTCCATGTGACTTTTGGCTACTTTCCAAGCTGAAAATGCCGCTAAAAGGAACCCGATTTTAGTCGAGAGAAGACATCTTGCGGAATGCGATGGACCGGCTGATGGCCATTCCAAAAGATGCGTTCCAGCAGTGTTTCCAGCAATGGCAGGAACGCTGGGAGAAGTGTATACACTACCAAGGAGACTACTTTGAAGGAGATTAGGGTTTTGTACCTCAAAATCAATAAATGTATTTTTGCCGACCAAAGGTCCGATACTTTTTGAACAGCCCTCGTATCATCAACACACAAAGGGAACAGAAATGATGTAACAATTCAGATCTAAAAGTAGTAGACTCAATTTTTACATAGGAGATTAATGTTAAAATTAAAACAAAAAATAAATATGTAAATAAATAAACTCCAACAAAATGCATGAAAACAACAATAATAAAAATAATAACGACTAAATAAAAGCTCAATACTTTTTGAGTCAGTTTTGGTGTAATGATGAAAACAGTTTATTTTTCTGATAATGTTTAACTTTTATTTATAAACTAATAGTTGAAAGAAACTTACAAAATATGTGTGACTAATAGGAATTACTTCCTTATTATCTTCCTGTAAAAATATGAGTTCATTTTCAGCAAATCTGAAATTATAACAATAGTTTAGAAATAAATATTAAAATATAATTGGGGATTTTCATTTCCCAAAAATATAGTACATTATTAGTTTAATCAATGTTATTAATATATACAATACACATCTCAAAGCCCAAGTTTTAATTCAATATATATAATATCCAACAGTTTAAAATAAATTATATATTGTTCATATCTGTAATTAATTATTTAGTTATGTGAATTTTCTTTGAAATAATCTATCTAAGATATCTATAATATTTGTGTTTAATGCAGATAAATACTGTATATCAATAATCCTAAGAATAATTGTTTTCTTTGAATATTCTGTTGAAGTTTCTATATTTTTTTCAAAATCCAATTAAAATTAACTTGTTGAACCAAAAGTATACCAAATATTTAGCATGTATTACAAAATAAATTGTATCTTCATTATTCATTTCTATAAGATGAAAATAACTTTATAGTATGTAACATATTTAACATTCCTCTAAGGATCAGTTCATTACCATTTATCTAGCTACAGATTCTATAGCCAATATTATTACTTAATAATAAAAAATTGATTGAAGAGTTTCTAACCTGATAACAGTGTCATAACTAGGTAGGTGCAACAGGTGTAAAGGCACAAGGTCGGAAATGAAGGGAATCTCAAAATGGAACTGACAAATGCGATATAATAGCCCAATATAATCTAGTAATTGGTATATTGTGTATGTACAATACATCAGGTTTGAAGATGTTGGTTTATTATTATTTTTCTGTCCCCAAAAAATTAAGAGACCCAAAAATAAAATATTGCACAGGGTAGACAAAAGGTTAGTTCTGACACTGCCTGATGATGATCACTAAAGATGATTAAAAATATTTGTTTATTTATTAAATAGAATTTTGTTGGATTATTATTTATTGGGTATATAAGTTGATTATTCTTAGTTAAACTCTTTCAAAGTTTATAATATTGTTTTGAATTACATGCCAGATAATGTTACAAGATTACCTAACATCCCTATTATATCTCATTGTGTTCAGAGTATTCTGTATACCTTGTGTTTGGAGGTAAACTTTGATAATATTAGCCAGACTGATAATATTACCAATGATTACAATAAGCAGCATCTACTCTATAGTAAAAATCTCAATAAATAATTTATATAAAAATATTTATCATTATAAACTAGATTACCAATTAGACCAACATTTTAAAAGTAAATGTTAAGTTGCTTTTGATTTTAAATAAGAATTAATTAATTAAAACAAATACATTAGACTCCCATTTTAACATTTCTCAATTTAATCCTTACCCTAATTTTATGTTCATTTTTAATTGTTCCAACTTCTATTGCTCCATAAAAACTATAGAATTTAGACTTAAATTTAGCATTTTTCAATTTTATGTTGAACTTGATTTTAAGGAAGCTCTTTTTTTAATCACACAACCCAAATGTGATTTCAATTTAACATTCACAGGAAAAAAGTGTATTGAGTAATTTTTGTGCCCTGATTTTTTTTGCTTGCTGCATTCTCACACAAGCTAAAAAGGATCTGGATTAAAGACTAATTTACATTATACATTAGCATTCTGAAATACTGTACAATGAATATCAATAATTGATAATATAACATTGTTATATATTAATTAATGTGTATATATTTACTCAAAATGTAATAAAATGTGTAATAAAAACTTATTGCCAGACAGGAATAAATCATTAATGAACTAGAGGGGCAAGCTGAATAAAATTGCCAGTGGTATTTTTTTCTTTTCTAGCCAGCACTAGACCCATTATCTACAGTCCAAGTATAAAAAATGTAACAGTTATCTAAGTTTATGTGATGAAAATGAAAACATATATATATATGTTTTCATTTATATATTTATTTATATTGTTTTCATATATATGGATTATATATATACACACTGCATATATGACTTTGACTATTGCATTTTGATTGTGATTAACATTATTGTTGTTATTATTCCATTCATTTCCATCACCTAGTATAATATGAATTTAAAAATGTTACAAATAAATTTTTATTTTAGAAATGTAATAGAAGAAATTACTATGTGTAAATTAGTGTTTCCACCAGGCTGGTTTTTAAATTCATGGTCCAGATTAATTATCAATTTGACCAGTTTTCGTAGAAATTGTGAAACTATGATGAAACAAATAAATTTATAAAAATATTTGAGAATATTTTATTTTAACAGTTAAAGACTAACTTCACACCTCTGCCCAAACTTATCCCTAGGCTAAGAGTGACAGAAAATGTATTTTTAAAATTCTAAATTGCAAATATTAGGTTTGTTCCAACACAAGTCCCTAACTGGTTTAAAACTGGCATGCCCATTGTTCAGTTCTTGGCTGTAAAATGACATTGTGCATGTCTCGTATTTATATTATATATTGTATTAGATACAATTATCTTTTGTAACTTAATATTATTAATGTTCGTATGTGTTATTATTTATTATTCTTATTTTTATTTTGCAATTAATATCAACATTGGACTGTTATTAATTATTTTTGGATACGCCACATATGATTATTGTATTACTTTAATATAGTGGTTCTCAACCTTTCTGATGCCATGGAACACCATTCATATACTTTTTATTACAAGGAGCATTAGCATCAATACATTCAAAAATTGATAAGCAATTTGTTGTTTACTATTCTCAGGAAACAACGAAGCAATAAACTAATAAACTTTAATATATTGAATAAAATAGAAACATGGAATTATCTATGAATATAGTAATGGGAATAAATTTGAATAAAAACTTTAAAATCTTTTCTTTTGTGGAACACTGGTTAAGAACCACTGTCTAGTCTGACAAAATAGGGTACGTCTTGAAGTTAACTGCCATCCCTCTCCTGAAGACTACAAAATTTTCAGGAGTGGGATGGCAATTAACATTGATTCCAAAATAAAACAGTGTGATATACCTCTTTTTATTTTAATATTCTGTGAGTAGCAATTAATTTATACCACAGTATCAATTACAAACATGCAAACTATGCATGCATTGTTAAAAGCCATAATTATATAATTTTGTTAAGAATATCAAGAATATCTTATAGTTAACTGAATCAAATGCTTTAGACCAGTGGTCCCCAACTTTTTTATCACCGCGGACCGGTCAACGTTTGATATTTTACCGCAGCCCACTGAGGGTGGACGTTGATTGTTTATATTTTAGATTGATTTAATTTAATAATTTTAATTTAATTGTATTTAAACATGTCTTCAAAATAAAATATAGTTACACCAAAAAATGAATATAATGTGA